AGCTATTATTGTATTGGGGTCTATCTCTCTCTTTAATTCTGATAATATTTGCTTTATATATTTGGGTGCTTCAGTGTTGGGCACATGCATATTTAGAGTTATTGTATCCTCTTGCTGAATTGACTCCTTTATCATTACATAATGACCTTCTTTGTCTCTTTTTAGACTTTTTGTCTTGAAATCTATTTTATCTGATAGAAATATAGCTACTCCTGCTCTTTTTTGATTTCCATTTACACAGAATATCTTTTTCCATCCCTTTATTTTCAGTCTATGTGTGTCTTTGTAGGTGAAGTGGGTTTTTTGTAGACAACATATAGTCAGGTCTTGTTTATTATGCATTCAGCCACTCTAAGTCTTTTGATTGGACAGTTTAGTCCATTTACATTCAACGTTATTATTGATAAGTAAGGACTTACTACTGCCATCTTGTTATTTGATTTCTGGTTGTTTGTTGGTCTTCTCTTTCTTTCTTCCTTCTTTCCTTCCTTCCTTCCTTCCTTCCTTCCTTCCATCCTTCCTGTCTTCCTTTGTGTAAAGGTGATTTTCTCTGGTGGTGTGTTTTAATTTCTTGCTTTTCATTTTTTATGTTTGTGTTGTGGGTTTTTTTTTATTTGAGGTTACCATCAGACTTGCAAAAACATTTTATAACCAATTATTTTAAACAGATGAAAACTTAATTCTGCTTACAAAAAACAAAGAAAACAAACAAGCAAAGTGGAATCTAAAAGAAACTCTATAGTTCCACTTTAGTTCCACCCTCTTCTGCTCTTTGACTTTTTCTTATTTCTATTCTCATCTTTTTATACTATCAATCTCTTAAAAAGTTGTAGTTATTATTTTTGATAGGTTTGTCTTTTGTCTTCCTATTCAAGATGCAACTGGTTTATACAACACAATTATAGCAATAGACTATTCTGTATTTGTGTACTTACTATTGCCAGTGAGTTTTATACCTTCAGATGATTTCTTATTATTCATTAATGTCCTTTTCTTTCATATTGAAGAACTACTTTTAGCATTTTTTATAGGACAAGTCTGGTGTTGATGAAATCCCTCAGTTTTTGTTTGTCTGGGAAAGTCTTTATTTCTCCTTCATGTTGAAGGATATTTTTGCACGACAGAATATTCTAGGGTTAAGGTTTTTTCCTTTCAGCACTTTGAATATGTTGTGCCACTCTCTTCTGGTCTATAAGGTTTCCACTGAGAAGTCTGCTGCCAGATGTATTGGAGCTCCTTTATATGTTATTTTTTTCTTTTTCTTGATTCCTTAGGACCTTTTCTTTATCCATGATCCTTTATCCATGATCCATGAACTTGATTATTAAATGCCATGAGTTAGTCTTATTTGAATTAAACCTGCTTGGTGTTCTAGGACCTTCTTATACCTGAATGTTTATATCTTTCTCTAAGTTTGGAAATTTTTTTGTTATTATTTCTTTGAATAAATTTTCTACCCCAATCTCTCTCTATCTCCTCTTTAAGGCCAATATCTCTTAGATTTGCCATTTTGAGGCTATTTTCTAGATCTTGTAAGTATGCTTCTTTCTTTTTTATTCTTTTTTCTCTTCTCACTGTGTATTTTCAAATCGTCTGTTTTCAAGCTCACTAATTCTTTTTTCTGCTTGATCTATTCTGCTGTTGAGAGGCTCTGATGCATTTCTCAGTTTGTCAACTGAATTTATCAGCTCCAGAATTTCTGCTTGATTTTTTTTTATTATTATTTCAATTTCTTTGTTAAATTTCTCTGATAGGCTTCTCAACTACTTTTCTGTTTTATCTTCAAGTTCATTAAGCTTCTTCAGAACAGCTATTTTGAATTCCTTATCTGAGAGATCACATATCTCCATCTCTTCAGGATTGGTTACTGGTACCTTATTTAGTTCATTTGGTGAGGTCATGTTTTCCTGGATGTTCTTGATACTTGCGAATGTTCATCAATGGCTGGGCATTGAAGAGTTAGGTATTTATTCTAATCTTCACTATCTGGGCTTGTTTGAACCCCCATCCTCCTTGAAAAGGCTTTCCGGATATTCAAAGGGAATTGAGTGTTGTGATCTCAGTCTTTGGGCACTGCAGCCATATCAGCACTGGGCGTGCCTCAAGCCAGTAATGCTGTGATTCTTGAAGACTCCTGGTGGTATCACCTTGGTGGACTTGGGCAAGAAAAGTGAGAATTCCCTGGATTACTAGGCAAAGTCTCTCACTCTCTTCC